CTGGAGCTCAAACCAAACTATTTCTAACACCGGGTAACAAACCTTGTGAATCAAGTAATGCTTTATGCACGTAATGAAGTTATTTTCAATTTGTCAAACTTTACAACATTCCACAATTTTTCAAATTGCAAACATTAAAATCATTCACATCGAGTTCGACTGGTTCTTTTAAATTCAATATAATTTGTCGAGTGGGCGCTGTCATTGTAAAGCCATTATCCGAAAACCAACCCAGAAATGGTTTTCTTATTGAGATCCAAGTAAATGGTGATATGCTGGTTGTGTTGATGGTGAGTTTGTAGGTGTTTTGATCAATCTGTTTGAATTCGCTGATTGTTACATCGCCAAACTTGTCGAAATCGACCTGAATGACAATCTTTGCAATTTTCAAACAATTGTCAGAATTTGATCCGCCCATCACCTATTAAGAACACAGGACGTTAGATTAGTCATCAATACTGCACGAAATTTGATTTCACATTATGTGGTGTGTTAACATATGAGGCACTAAGCCTAATGCAGAAATAAAGCACGGAAAGCTTACCATACGCCTTCCTGATTTGAGGTTAGTCCACATACACCCTAACCCACAAAAGCTGATCAACTGCCTACAGCAAATTTTATAGGTGCTAAAAACTCTAGACTGATATACCCTTACATGACATTAAGAGTACTTTCCATTTCATCGAAAACCAGGCAAAAGCGTTTCTCATGCAAAATTCAAGACCATGAAATATGAAAACTGATGGATTAGAAAACTAAACCCATCCATCTGATGTATTTCCATCTTAATTTTTGATTGTTAGCTAAACATGTAATCTTCTGATGAAGGTACCAAATAACCCAGATAGCAGAAGATTAGTGAGCTTGTGTTTAATGATGTCGGTGAATTAAAAAAAAGAAGAAAATTCGAAGGACAAAAAATCGATTTCGAATCAAGAATATGACAATTAATCATACTTGAATAAGAGTTTGAAATCAATTGTTTATATTAATAGACAGAATGATTTGAACTGGTAGTCAGGTTCAATGGCATGCAATGGTGGAAAAAATGGCAAGAGGAACTTACCTCGTACAGCTTCTCCGGGAAAAGTACCGTTTCTGGAGCTATAGAATCACCATTATTAGCGAAAAGCCGTGCACGCAGCAGAAAATCGGCGTCACTTGTGCTCAGTCCTCTAGAAAATCTTATACATAATTTTTATTCAACAACTAATTCTGGAAAATGTAAAACCAAACTCACAAGGAAAGATCTATTTCTTTAGCCGAAAACGGCTCAACCTTGACAACCTCCTCATCAGTATAAATAGGCTCAAATTCGCTATTCCAAGCAAGCATGTCCACAACCAACTTGGCTTCATTGATATAACCGGGAGAATCATTAACGACGGTCACTCCAATATCGTTAAATCCAACAGCATACTGAAGACTATTCATAGACTTGTAGCAAAAGACATTTCAAAGGAGAAAAAAAAGCAATTATTAGAAACTCTATATCTATCTCAAAAATAATAGAACTCTTTCGGTTATTATGTGAAAAAAGAGTTTAACAAATGAAAATAATTTTCATATTGACCTTTTCTCACACTGGCAAACTGGC